CTCCAAAAAATTAGCCGAGTTACAAAGCTTCTTGGGCTTAGTAAATTATTATCAAGAATTTATTCCTAACATGCACAAATTACGCGCACCCCTAAACGAACTGTTGAAGAAGGAAAAAGTTTGGGAATGGTCATATGAATGTCAGAAAACTTTCGACAAAATCATTAAGACTCTAACAGCAGATTTATTTTTAGCGCATTATGATCCAAAATTGGAAATAATAGTCGTGAGTGACGCGAGTGCCTATGGTGTTGGGGCATGTATACTTCATAAAATGCCGGATGGGACACTAAAACCCATCGCGCATGCGTCAAGAACGTTACTACCAGCCGAACAAAATTACTCGCAAATCAAAAAAGAAGTGCTGGGGATTATTTTTGCGATTACAAGGTTCCACAGATATATTTACAGTAGATTTTTCACCTTGCAGACAGTCCACAAGCTATTACTAACAATATTTGGATGAAAGAAAGGTCTACCTGTCTACAATGCTAATAGATTACTAAGATGGGGGGACGATTTTAATAAATTATAATTTCAAATTAGAGTATCTTCCATCAAACAAAATCGGGCATGCAGACGGTCTTTCGAGACTAATACCAAAGAAAACGGAGCCATTAGAAGATTCCGTAATTGCAGCTCTACGATATGAGGAAGATATTAGAACATCATTATGTAGTACAATTCGAAACCTCCCCGTCACATTACAGGAAATAAGAAACGAAGCAGTGAATGACGAATTTATAAAGGAAACGAAAACAAAAATTGCAGGAAAAGATAAGCATATATCAGACAGTTTTTCGTTATGTGATAATGTTCTGCTATATAATGAAAGAGTAGTAACCCCGAAAACGCTACAAAGGCGAATCCTCAAGGATTTTCACATGGGCCACCCAGGAAAGAACAGGATGAAATCCTTAATGCGAAGTTACGTGGATCAAGATATTATACATATGGTGGACAAATGCAAGGGCTGTTTCTTAGCAGCCAAGGCACCCCCGATCACTCATAAGCCATGGCCTAAGACAGATCGACCGTGGTCGAGAATCCAGGTAGATTTCGCAGGTCCATTAGAGGGTTTCTACTATTTGATTGTAGTAGACAGTTACAGCAAATGGCCAGAAGTATTTCGTTGTAGAAAACCTACTTCTGAGACGACAATAAATTGCCATCACGAGCTGTTTGCTCGTTTCGGAGTGGTTGATTGCTTAGTCACCGATAATAGGACACAATTTACATCTGCGGATTTATTGTGAAACTTTTCAGGTGAAACACAAAATCTCCGCCATATCACCCAAGGTCAAACGGGCAAGCGGAGAGGTTTGTAGATACATTAAAAAGAGCACTAAGGAAAGCTTATGACGTACCAACAGAAAAGGCTTTACAACAATTCTTGCAAGTGTATAGAATTACACCGAACAGTACTACGCCATCGGCATTATCGCCGGCGGAAGTAATGTTCGGCCGAAAAATTAGATCGGTATTCGACAAATTACTGCCAAAACAGACAAAGCAATCACCAACGTCGTTTGTACCAAAAAGAAAATTTTGCCCAGGGGAGAAAGTTTTTTTTTTTTTAATGTTCAAAAACAACACATCCTATTGGGAGCCAGGTACAATAGAGAAACGAATCGGGAACGTGATTTACATAATTCAGGGTCCGAAGTTCTCGCATAAAAGGCACTTAAATCAGATCAGAAAGAGGCTGTTAGAGGATTCTAACGGTCTACCTCAGGAAGAGGAGGAAGTAATGGACACAATATTTGACACATTCAATATGCAAAGGCCTCAAGCAATTTCAGAACCGCGGAAATCAAGCAGAAAAAGAAAATTTACAGAGCCTTTGATGATTAATCCGAAGAGGAAAAAAAAAATTAAAGACCCCTGCGAGGTAAAAAAAGCTTGGGAGGGGGGTGTCATGGGTCCTTACCTATAACTACAGAATGAACTCTTCCTAACACTATGTATACTACGCCTCTCAAGAGAGAGAGGGCGAATCGAGTCGAGCCGATAGTAGTTCACTCCAAACCAGACTGACAGTCATACTAACACCTTCCACATCTTGTATTATTATTTCGTGTAATATACCTTCGTTATTTCTACTGTGCGGCCTGCTTACAAACAAAATTGTTCATAATCATTCTGGTTCTCACCAGTCCAGGTGCAACTCAATGCACCGAAACGAAGTCGCATCTTTGTCGTGAGCAAATTGTTTTTGTCTGTATGAAAAAATTATATATATATATATATATATGTGTGTGTGTGTGTGTGTGCACATTAAAGTCAACACTCAGAGGCGACAGTCTGTTTCATGCTAGACGCAATCGTCAGTATATATATATATATATATATATATATATATATATATATATATATATTTGTAAAATTTACATCAGAACAAATGAAATATAATTCCACTGTCCGTAACATTTAATTTAAAAGAGGGCTCAATACAGAGTAGAGCCAAATATTATTTATTATAGAAGATAAATTAATACAAAAACATGTTAAAAATAGCTACACAATAGCAATCGTATTTCAACACTACAAATGTATCTCCTCGGGCGATTGTAAATTACTGGCGAGTGAACGATTAATTTAATTTCAAAAGCGGAATACGTCCTTTTTTTTTTTTTTTCGAAAAAAAAAACAGAATTAAAATTAGGCTTGTGGGTTTTACCATGATTAACCAATCAAATGTGACCAACGCTAAATTCAAACAAACCGAAAAAAAATTGATATAAATCATGCCATGAAGTTATCTGCATATAAATCCTAGACAATTTAATTCTGGACAGATACAAATGGTTACATTATTTCGTAAAATATATTGAAGTATGACGTTAAACCTTCGCAAGAAGTTAAATGAAAGGAGGTTAACTAGCTATATGTTCGGTCATCTTCTACAAATTTTGTAGTTGATAATTAAAAGACCTCTTTAAGAAACTGGTAAATAACTTAACCGTTTAAAAATGGAAATCAGATCATAAATACAAAACAACTTTGGCAAATTAATATGCAACCGTATGACCAAAAGTTTTAGATATAAGATGTTAATAATACGAACTAATCAACGTATTTATTTTTGTTAATGATATATACTAAACACCACTACATCCTTATAAGATGTTATTAATACTAATTAGACATCAATACTGGGCTATATTAAATCTAAATGAATCTTACAAATAGAATAGTAAGTCATATAAAGTGCATCACAGTTTATCTACTAATTATTACTATAAGAAAAAGTATTAGTTAGAATTCTTGCAATTACATTGGTTAATATTATCCATAGTATTTATCTTGGAATATGCATTATTATCCATATTTTTAAATTGTTTTAAATTTTTATTATTATGTTTCTTTATAATCTTCTCAAGATTATCGGTGCAGCTATAACTTAGTTTTGGTTTGTATCTGTTAAATATTTTACTAAGAGGATTACTTTTAGGGAAATGGTTATCAATTAAATGGAGGAACTTTTGAGTTACCTTAGTATTGACCAATTGGTTTCCTTTTTTAAATAGTTAAGTTATTTACCAGTTTCTTAAAGCGGCCTTTTAATTATCAACTACAAAATTGTATGTAGGAAGCTCTTCGAGCATATATCTAGTTAACATTATGTTAGATTACCTTTCTACCTCATTCCCTTTAAGTTCTTGTGAAAGTGTAACGTCATAACGTCATTGATCTTCGGACTCAATGGTTTTGATAAAAGTATTCTGAGAGGCATTTTTTCTTTTAAACTGGACGTTCTAAAGACGATTCGTTATCTCTTATTCATGGTGGCAGCGGTTTTTGCAACCTAGGGCAAGTTCTTTTCTTTGATGGCATGTCTTAGGCAAGTATGAATTGTCAAATGGAATGCGTATGCGCCAGAAGAGAACGCTGTAAAGCGTACAGGGACACTAAGCTTCGAATAAATTTTACACGCGGTTGAAAAATGTTGAGTAATAAAAAAGCAAGCTTACTTATTACTACGGTGAATGCAATGTAAAAACTGACAGGACAATAAAAAAAATTTAAATTGGAAATGGCTTTAAACGACAATGTAAGCAACGCCTTAAAACTGTAGTAGTAGGCTTTATACAACTGAAAAGGTAACGTCACTTGAGAGAGATTGAACGCTTGGCTAAGAGAAGAGGAATGTGTAATTTGGACTCAAAACCGGCACTGAAGAATTATCTATCAAACGAAAAAAAATCATCGAAATCGGATGAAAACTGTGGAAACGCATAAACAACATCTGATCACACACACACATACACACACACACACACATACATATACACACACATTTTAAGAATTATAGATTATAGCCATTGTCACCAACAATTTGAACTCAAAACTGGCAGAGGAATTATCTATGAAACAAAAAAATCATCGAAATCGGATGAAAACTGGAAATGCATAAACATCAGATCACACACACACACACACACACAGATTTTGAGAATTATAGATATAGATAGATGAAATATTGAGGAGAAAAGAAAATTTTGGTATTTTTATTTTTGTGTTTCTTTTTCATTGGTTAAGTAGACCACACATGTATCTGTCCTGTCAAGCATCGTTCATGTGTATAATTCATGTGTATTCATATATCACAATTATAGTTGTTGGAATAGCAAATTACCCAGCGTGATAATGTAGCGATTGTGTAATCAATATGTGGGGTTTTTGAATTGTTATGATTAGACAGAGACTCTCCAAGTGACCAAGCGAATTTATAGACATTACTTAGTTTACTGATTTTTTACTTCTTTTAGTTTTTTTTTTTTTTATATCGTTGTTGGTGATCATATTGGAGTGAGTCTTTTTGTAAGTGTGGAGATTATTTTGTTTGCTTTTGTTGATAAGTAATATGTAGTTGTATTAGGTTTCTTATCGTTTTTTTTCGTCTAGTTTGTGATTATTTTGTCATTCGTTTCTGTGAAAATATTTGTTTATTTTATTTTGTAAATTCTAATCCAAATGCTTCATAAAACTTTCATCAGGTTCTGCTTCTGATAAAAAGCGCCATCGGCGAAATGAAGTTATCAGGCTGGATCTGAACAATAAAAATGCTGAGTTACAATGTCGGAAAAGAGAACAAATCGTTAATGTGACAATAAGGAGCCGGGATACGGCAGACTGTCAGGGATTGCCGAGCAACATGTTTGTTGACCAATGTAATTGCTACTGGAACAGGAGATGCTCACTGACGTATGATCCAACAGACTACATCATCCCTACTTCGAAACATTCCTGTCCTGGGCGACGCGTTAACGCACTTGATGTGAGTTACATCTGTAAACCATCAGGTAAATTATTATTATTATTATTATTATTATTATTATTATTATTATTATTATTTGTGTATGCTATGTTTCCTGCTTTGTATCTTGTAGAGCCGGGTCCAAACTATGACCCTTAGGCCCTATAGGAGAATTATTATTTAACTGATAGCACTTTTCTTAGTATATGGGATGTTCGTAGTAAGGCGATCTTCTGGGTAACTTGATGTTACCTGGGACACTGTTAATAAAATTATCAGTTCCTTTTCTCATGAGGCCTAGAACTCCGATTACTATTGGTAATCTCAGTCTTCATTCCCTACATCCTATTAATCTCGATTTCCAGGTCCTTGTATTTGGACAATTTCTCGATAATTTTCATGGAGGTGTTTCTCTCAGATGCTATGTCAATAAGCTTACACTTCCTGGATTTCCAGTATTTTATGATAGTAGCAGGTCTGTTGTCTTTTATTTCCCTGTCACTTTGAATTGGCAAGTCCTGAGGATAGTTACATTTTGGATAACCATGTCTGGTTGCTGCTCATACCATCTCTCAGTTGTTTCGATTTTGTGCTTCTTGCATATCTTCTAATGCACCTATGTTGCTACTTTGTGAGTATATTCATTTTGTTCTAATTTCGATATTTTCCTGATATCATATGGTCGACAGTTTCATCATATTTTCCGCGGATCCTGCATTTCGGGTTAGTTCCATGCTTGATTATGTGACTGATAGGATCTGGTTCCGAGGCTTTGGTCCTGAGCTGCAATAATTAGGTCTTCTGTCTCAGCTTTCAACCCGATGCTCTTCAGTCAGTGATGTGTTTTCTGTTGATCCATATCAGCTTCTTTCGTTCTTTTTATTTGATATGCAACGCCTTGTCCTCCCAGATTTTTTTTTTTTTTTTTTTTTGTAATTTCATTTGGCCAAGTTGTTTGCTTTCTGTTTTACTTGTTTGTCTTGGATGGTATTCGTTTCGTTTTTTTTTTTTTTTTTTTTTTTTTTTTGGGGTTTTTGGTAGGGTTTTCTAGTATATTAAGTTGTTTCTTAAAGAGTGCAGCTTCTTTGTTGACGGAGTGGATTTGGTTTTTTAATATTTGTGGGAGAGGGTCATTGGTTTTTGTCAGGTATACTTCCAATCCGATTGTTGTAGTTTTTACTTAGTTCAAGGAGGATTAGATTTTGGCTTCCTAACGCTTTTGGTACGTACAGCCAATCACGATCTGATTTCGGGTGGCATATCCTCATTTGGGTATGCATTTTTATGGTCTTGGCACCCGATCTTTTAATGTCATTCAACTTCCATTTCATAATGTTGAAGTTGTATGTTGCTACAGGTCTGGCGAAGATGTTGATAGCTTTCATTCTGTTTGTCCCATTAAGTTCGCTTTCTAGTATGAAACGCACTCTCCTATAATATTCTTTTCGGATCTTTTCCTTCATAATTGAATGTTGTATTCATTCTCCTTCATTAATTCCTAAGTATTTGTATGTACCATCTTGCTCTAGTTCCTTAATCGTGTTGTTCATATCAAGATCCAAATCTGTAGTTTTCGTTAGTTTACCACTTAAACTATATTTTAACGAAGTGGTAAACTAAAATTATACACTTCTTAATTTTATTCGATTAAAAAATAATTGTATATATATTACATACGTGGATTTTGTATATATATATATATATATATATTAAAAAGAAGAGAGGTGCCGCAAACGTTTTTGGTTGGTTGTAATTTTTCTAAATAAATCCACATTACAACCAAAAACGGCACCTCTCTTCTTTTTAATATACATACTTTTCTCTCGTTGGACCCACTACAACATATTTCTTTTATATATATATATATATATATATTAAGGAAAAACAGACCACTTTAGGACTACCCATACGGATTACCAAGTTTTTTTTTAACTTATATATATATATATATATATATATATATATATATATATATATATATATATATACATTTTTTACACATATATATATATATATATATATTTTACATACGTGGACAAAATATTATATATATATATATATATATATATATATATATATATATACTAGCAGTAAAGTATGGCCCGGCGTTGCCCGTGCTTGATTCAAAAATCGTACGACTCATACAGCAATCGTTATCACTTGACTTAAAATATTTTGCCCTTCCTTGCCTTTAAAAGGAATGCCCTTAGCCGTGCTGATGTTGCTACATGCCTTACTTCTTGCCTATCTCACACTTTAGAATTTTTTCTAAGCTCTATACTAAACATTAAATCTGTTACGAAAAAAGAACTAAACAAAATGAACACAAAACGATCAGCTTTAAAAAAGTGCTCGTAACTGGAAAAATCGAATGAAAATAGAATGTTAACAGATACTTTTTCACACCCAACCCAGTTCTGCGGAATCAGAATCAACGTTGAGCTTAAGCAAGCGAATGAGCCAATTGGAATAAAGTGCCATGCAGATTTAAATTTTTCCCACTTGTGACGAATGCAGCTATCGTTTTTTTTTTAGCATGCTATTTTTTTTTTTCATGCTTGTTAACATTCGTGTCAGTCAGCTGTTGGCTCTCAAGCTGGCCAGTACAAAATGGCCGCAAACTACATGAAAAGTGCCGTCGAAGCATGAAAAAATCGATTATTTCCACTTGTCGATGGGTGTTGGGAAATACAAAGTCGGTCTTGGCCTTTCCACTAACTTGGAGCATGTGCATGTAAATTTTGGTGCAAATCCGTCGAAAATTGCGACCGTGCATTTGTTACACACACACACACACATCCTGCCTTTTATATATATATATATATATATATATATATATATATATATATATATATATATATATTGTGCACGTATGTAAAATTTTGATAGTTGGTTTGTGTTGTCTTATTAGTGTTTTTATATTTGAATCTTGGTATGCTTATCTGTTTATAGGTACGTGTGTGTGATTGCTTATATATGCTTTAATTGAATGTACAGTGTCTGATATAATTTTCTTTGCGTGTTTATTTTTTTTTATTCGTCTATTCTTATTCTTATTCCTTTTTATTCTCATTTTATTCTATTCTCCTTTTTCGGTATTTTTATTTCCTCTCTTCTTTTCTTCTTATATTTCCTGTGTCGTTTGTATATTTGCGTTGCCTATATATTTAATTATATTTGCGTGTTTGCGTATTATGATGTGATTGTGTCTGTCTTGTCATTTGTAAAGCCTCTTCCCCTATCCACCTAATCTGAATTCAGACAACATCAATGTATCTAATATGAAGCGATCATTGCATCATTCTTGCATCAGCGTTGAATCTAACGGAAAATTTAGCATCTAACTAAGAACAATACATAAATATATGTATATTTTCCTAACCCTGTATTTTGTAATATTCTAAACTTAATGTATTGTTTTATTTTAAATATAAAATTCGTAATTTTTATTTTTTAACTTTATAGTGAAATTGAAAGTTAATTAATTATACTGATTTCTAATTTAATTTAATATTAATATTAAAGTATTTATAAATTGTACCTAGGGTCCGTTGTCAAGTTTTTTGAATTCTCATATACTTGTATTTTAACAATGTTTCCCCTATTTGGGTCGGGGTGATTGGTTTTCAACTTTTTAAAACTCTTTATTTTGCAATCAACACCATCACGTGACAAGACACCAGAAGTGTTGAAGCAAAATGGCTATTTTTGTAGTGATGTTATAACATACTTATGTTATAATTTTTTAATATGTATTATTTGCTCAACTTTGTATTGAGTACTTTTTAAAAAATAGTGGTTTTGGTTATAAGAATTTTTTCCATCTATACCAACCCTGTATTCGTATATATATATATATATATATATATATGTATGTATGTATGTATGTATGTATGTATGTATGTATATAAATATAAATATATATATATGCAAATTTTATATATATATATATATATATATATATATTACTTTAATTAGATTTCAATTTTCCATTTTTTATCCAGCCAAAATAGAGATGTACCACAGCACCAAGTGGCCGAGAAACGAAGGCATCATACGAAGCCACGTGGACTTTCCTTGGAACGATCGCGGATCTCTCGATTCAATGAAACGCTCAATAAATGTTGGTCACCACAATCGTTTAGTTGTCACCTTGTTCCCATTCGATCTTGGACATAACCAGCTGTACATTGGTAGCCACACTTTTACCGGACAAAAAATCCATCCAGAAACCGTCGTTATCAACAGGCAAACAGTGGTCTACTTTAACTTTACAAGGAACGACGAATCGAAATCTGACACAAAAGGATTTGTGCTCTGCTACAAAGGTGCGTACTTCATTTGATGAGATCATCTGCTAGAGACGACAGGACCTGTCTTCTTTCCCCCTCCTTTTTATTTTTATTTTTTTCATTTACTTTTGATAACCACATTAAAAGTTCATTTCATAACGTCAAACAAACGTGTAAATTTTCTCCTCCTGGGTATGACAACAAACTACATCCGTCAGCAAGACCTGTCAAGGTTTTGAGGAGCGTTGGATCACCTCTTAATTGCTGTTGTTTCCAGGTCCACCCTCACCCGGGGTTGTAGTATCTGTTATGGTCCTAACATTTTTGTCAGGAATGAAAAAAAATACAAGCAATACATTTTTGTAAGGAAAATAAAAAACAAAAAAAATAACCAGCAATATATTTTTGTAAAGTAAATTACTAATGGTCCCAAGAATATTAAATTTCAGCATTAAATGAGTCATAAGGAGTTGATATGCCGTTAAAAAAAAAACGTAAATTTTCTAACGTCTAACGCAGCGTTTCTCAACCGGTGCGCTCAGGCGCACTAATGCGCCCTGATAGATAGACAGGTGCCCCCTAAGTTAACAGAAGTGTAATTTATGAATTATTTTTATATTTAAAAGTTTATTTTTAAAAAGCTAGAGACACAAAACACATGCCTTCCATATTTAAGTCACGACTTCGTCATTTGATATTTTAAGCTGGATGCTAAATTCTTTAATCTTTACGGATTGGATACGCTTGTCCCTTTTGCTTTTCTGAAAGGATTTAAATCAGTCATTATCGGCCTCTCTAAAAAAAAAAAAAAAAAGAAAAGAAAAATAGCAGATTCTTCATAAATCCCTTTAAATGAAAACTAATCTTTTTGAGAAATGCTATGCGCCCTGAAGTAAAAAGTTTGATAAACAATAGTCTAACGTCTAAATTCAGGTAGGGGAAAGTAAATCATAGTCGTATTTTGAATTCTACGAAAACTCCATAACAAAATCATTATTCGGAAAGTGAACTTTAACTTTAGCGAGATTTTTGGAAGCTGTCCACATTTAAAGAGACGCAGTAGGGGTCTTAATGAATTCAGTAAAATAATCAGATGTTAGAAATAAAAATGGCGTCCTACAGGATTTAAAACCTGACGTTTAATTATATATTTATTTGCATATATTAGAGTGATAAATTTACCGTTTTCGTCCGATCACTGGAGTTAAGCGGCATTGTTCCTGATCAGATGAGTGAACGCTTGTGGAAACTAGGTGTCATAAATTTAAATTGGGTATATGGAACTTGTTAATATGGTATAGGGGAATCCCTCTGAGAGAATGAAAACTTCGTTTTCAAACCTCCGCTACTTTGCGGCGAACGGATAGGGTAGATGGGGTGATCCGGGCTGAATGAAAGCTGTCTGTCTAACAAAATAATAATGAAGGCTCTCTAAGAAAAGAATAATCCCTAATATAAAATCCAAATCACGATGTTCCAAATTCCAGGTTGGTATCTTACTAGAGTAAACCCCCTTATGGGTGCGACACTCACTTCCAAGTTGCACGGAAGACTAGGCTGATAAAACAAACAAGAATATGTTATAACCAAAGATTTCCAGATTCGTTTTTAAATAAAACAGAAAAAGAATGAGAGTTATGTTTCGTGATTCATTTTTTTCTTGATGTCTTATTAACCGTTTTACATCAAACGGAAATTTATGAATGAATTGTCCGTATTTGAATTGGTTATTTGAAATGGGAACGGTCGAACATACTAGGATTGAGTTGAAGTGGTATTGAAGCCTGAAGTTGACAGTCACCATGCAGTGTTTATTCTTATGTACACACTATCTATATCTATTTATCTACGTATGTGTGTGCGTGTTCTTGTTATATTTTTATATTCATTTTTTCTCACAAATCTTCTCCGCTACCCATAGCTAAATCTGTTGAATGAAGTTTATTTTCTCTTGAATTTTATTAGAATTGAAGAGGATCAAAAACTCTTATAGAGGCTTCTTTCTTAGAATGCAGAAGAAGCTAACAAAGCCAATATTTCAAACTGTAGATAACCTGCAACAGGGTCTCATCATTTTAAAGTTTAAATGGCTAGATGTAACCTCATTTGTGGAACTCTCTTCCGGCTCCATGCTTTTCCCACGAACTCTGATCTTCAAAAATTTAAATGCAATGTCAGTCGTTATCTGTTGTCTCTTTGAGTACTCTTCTTTTATTGTTCTCGCTCCTTAATCATGTTTCTCTCTTCTTTTTTTTTCCTTATTCTTTCACACTCAGTAACATCTTGGTCCTAGTGGCTTGCTGCCTTGAATGGGATAAAATGATTAAAAAAAAAACTTATTAAAGGCACACTATATATTTGTTAAGCTCACAGAGTTGATAAATATTTGTAATATGAAGCTCAGTATATAATAATAATAATAATAATAATAATAATAATACCATTATCACTACCATCCTTTGAAATTTCAGCGTTCAAACTGATAGGGAAATTAGTCAAAACGACTGACATAAAGTGAAAAAATCATTTTAAAACATATTTTTATTTGATCATTTCAAAGTGTTTAAATGCAATAAAGAATTAAGATGCAAAATCTTACTGAAAAGATAGAACAGAATGATGAAAAAATACTTTTTAAGGAGAGAATCTTTATAAAAGAAAAAAAGAAAAATCAAACAGATAACGATTGACATCGCACTTAAATTTTTGATCAAATTTGACTGGGAAGCAAGAAAGAAAGAGATTTTCCATAATAGCGAAAAGTGTAATAGAAGAAACTGTTAACATAGAAGTTCTGGTTTCATCTAGCCATTTCAACAAACAAAATGATGATCCCTTGCCGCCAATCTAGTACTGCACTTAAATTCATAAAGTCAAGGTACCATAGAGGAAAAGGACCATTTTTCAGAAAAAATTAAAATGAAAATATTGCAGCTCCAGTCGACAAAAATACATATTTGAAAACGTTTTTGAAACTAAACAAAAAAAAGAATCTTCGAGATAAAAATCAGTAGAATATGGCATTCCAAGACAACAACGTTACCTGTTGTTATTGGGTCTTTTTAATATTCAGATCAAAAATATCAAACAAATATGTTCTATAGTTTTCCTGTAGCTCTAAAATAAATATGAATTGAAAAAAAAAAAAAAAACATATCCGTGGGTATTTCTCACATTCTTGCATATTCTTATCTCCATAAAAGAGGACGTGAACAGAATGTGCTTTCTTATTATATGGAACATCAGTTACTGCAGATTGTAAAACGTGTCCATTTGAAGATTTCTTTTAAAATACATCGGATCTAGAGAAAGTAGAAATTTTCAACAATATGGTACGTAAATGACATCAAGGTAATTTCAGTTGTAGTTGATCCCTCATTTGATTGGAAAAAATTCCATCCAGACTATTGAAGGGATTCTTGGTAGCCAGTGTTTTAAAGAAATACAAAAAATTGTACTCACAAGTACAACTCACTCATTACGAAGAGATTTATCTAGGTAAAATGTTTGTGATCTTATTTTTTTATAGTTTTTTTTTTTTTTTTTTTGTTTAGCGGAAAATGTCATGAAGCCATTTCTGACCTTAGGTCTCTGGTTGGGACCCGGAAGAAATGATGTATTTAAAAATTTTAAAATCTTTTAATATTAATAATAATAATAAATGAACTATTCTACCTTCGATATATTAATGAATTATTCTACCTTCGATATATTAATAAATCCACAATCTCATTGTTTTTATTCGTAGCTTTGGATCTTATTCGAGACTCGTCCTAAAGGTGGTAACTTAATTTAATTACCCCGATAATAATCAAGGACCTAAATTTTTTTGATGAATTTAATTTCAATGAATACGAATAATATTTCATACCGGATTTTAATTTTTTTTCAACAAGGGTCGCGTCCTTTTTTTTATTTTCCAGTCTGAGGACGAAAAGTCTGTCATCTGAACAAACCTAATATTCCATACGAAGAAGACAATAGGTCAATTAAACCCGGATTATTGCCAACCTTGGAACCAAGTGACTCAATACCAAATCGACTAATAAAAAGTAAACGAACGAAATGGATTCGCGAAGAGTATCGACAAGTCATGACATCCTTCTTCCACTGCCTGGAAAACCCAGCAAAAAGAACACCACCAATCAAACATACCAAATATGGAGAAGTATTCTTGGGAAATGATATAAGACCTAACCTCAATCCAAACATTTTTTGCCAATGTCCGTAGGGACATCAAAAACAACAGACTCTCAAAGGCAGAAATACATAAGATAAAAAAATACTATAAGACAAAAATACTATGACCCATCACCCAAAACTTTATTGAGACGAATGTAGAAATAAGGAATGCAACAGAGGATCAGGTGGACGCTAAAATTTCATGAAATACGAAAATAATCTCCCAGGAAAATTGAAACCCAAGACTCTACCTTTTTTTTCGACCTTTTTTTCTTCTCCAGAAAATGTATCTGAATCATCTTCATTTTTCAATAAGTTAGAATTCCTTTTTTTTTACGAAGCTGAAATCACCTTGAAGCGAAAAATGACGTCATCCAAGTACTCAGCAGAGTAACTTTTATACAATTGTCAGACAGAGACCAGCTCCCAAAAATCCATATGACGAACTCCAACGAGCACATCGTGAAAATATACAATGCTGCTCTGGAAACACTGTTAACAGATAAACCACCGGGAAACATCAAAATATTTAGTTAACAACGTCATATACGCAACAGCTTTAGCACCTACTGGAAGCTTGGGGTCAAGACAATAAATAAAATTAACAGACACAGAGTACCAGCTTGGAAAACCAAACTGATACGAGAAATAAAACAAATCAGATGTGAGCTTTCTATATTAGATGAGCTCACAAGAAAACTTTGGTAATATTTCCACACGTAAATGCAAAAAATCAAGCGGAAATATAACATTAAATCCCTAATTGACATTCCATTCAGAAAATCAAGGAAATGCTGAAGAGAAACTTCATGTTAAAGGCACAGAGAACAAGACGATACGAAAAACGTTGTAGGTTCTATCGCCAAAATAAAATATTCCGAACAGATCTTAAGAAATTTTACAGGAAATTGGAAAAACACCTATACATGTCGAAAGGCCACCATCGATTGATAATGTACAGACATTTTTGGAAAAATATTTGGAGCAGCCCAAAGGAATATAACCCAAATCCAGAATGGATAAAACGTGAAGAAGAACGAATGATGGATACAAATTCTGCAAGAATGGGAAAATATATCCACAGATGATGTTAGGCAAGCTCTAACGAAATCCCAAAATGGAAATCCCTCAGGAAATGACAAGTTGCCCAATTTCTGGCTTTATCATCTCTCATCTACCCATGAAATTCTTGCAAAAACATTATCAACGCTTGTAAATAATCCCAATAAAATCCCGGAATGGATTACTGAAGGTATTACATTTACCTCATTCCAAAAAACAACTGAAACAGACGACCCGAAAAATTATAGACCGATAACATGTCTCTCCACAACGTATAAGTTGATGACGTCTGTACTGACGAACCGTACTTATTCTTTTTTTCGAAACAAACAGCATTCTTCCGCTGGAACAGAAGGGATGCAGAAGAGGGTTCATATGGCTGCAAAGATCAACTTCTGATAAATAAAATGATCCTGGAAAATTGCAGGAGACGACGCAGAAATCTTAGTGCAGCGTGGATTGATTATCGTAAAAATTTTTGATAGTGTTCCACATTCTTGGATCCTTAAGACTTTGAAATGTACAAAGTCTCCCCTGTGGTATTAAATTTCCTTAAGCACAGCATGGGAATGTGGAACATCAAACTATACCTTAGTCACACCAGGGGCACTGCCATATCCAACTGTCTGAATATCCGACGTGGAATCTTTCAAGGAGACGCTCTGTCACCCCTTCTGTTTTGTTTATCCTTAATCCCTCTTACACATGAACTGAATAACAATAGCTATGGTTACAAAATAAATAAGAAAATATTCAATCACCTACTCTACATGGATGATCTCAAACTCTTTGCCAAAGACGACAATGAGTTGAAAGGCCTCCTCAATATTGTAAAAATACTTCAGTGACGACATAGGTATGGACTTCGGATTAGATAAATGTGCAAAAGTAACATTCAAGAAAGGTAGAATTACAGAAACACCCTTTAATAGATTTAGATTTTGTCACAAAGATTAGGGAACTGGAGCATGATGAAGCTTATAAGTACCTAGGAATTAGCGAAGGAGATGGCATACAACACCCCAAATGAAGGAAAAAATAAGAAAAGAGTACTACAGGCGTGTACGTCTGGTACTAAATACTGAGCTAAACTCAAAAAAAAAAGAATATCAGCCATAAACACATTGGCTGTCCCTGTGGTGCAATACAGCTTTAATGTCCTTAACTGGACCATAGCTGAAATTAAGCGAATGGACGCCAAAACGAGAAAAGAATTCTCACTTGCTATCGCATGCATCATCCCAAAAGCTGATGTTGATCGTCTGTATGTGCCCAGATCCGAAGGAGGCAGAGGATTAGTTCAACTAGAACTGTCCTACAAAACTACAACAATTGGCCTCCAAAGATATTTGGAAACTACAGAAGACTGGATGATGGTATGCGTCAAGGAACATGAAAGTAGTAAAATTCTTTACTCCGTAATGAAAGAAGCCAACAAATTCAAAATGGAGTTTCAAATGGGCGTAGAAATGCAACTACAGCACAATACACCGGCTGAAACTGCAAAATACTTAAAAAAAAACAGCAAAGACGAATGCAACCGACCAGATACAGAAGCGATGGCAAGATAAACCGCTTCATGGCCAATACTCTGCCCGTACCAAACAAGCTGACGCAGACAAAACCCGTACCCATCAGTGGCTACGTAGTGCAGGGTTGAAAGCGGAAACTGAAGGTTTTATCCTTGCTGCACAGGACCAATGCTTGCTAACTAGGAATTATCAAGCACATATACTAAAATATTGTGTCAGCCCAAAATGCAGATTCTGTGATAAATATCCAGAAACGATTGATCACCTTGTATCAGGTTGCATGGTGTTGGCACCCACTGAATATAAAACCCGACATGACAGAGTGGGCCAATATCTGCACTGGAAAATCTGCAACTTCTACGGAAAGGAAACTGAAAGAAACTGGTATGAACACCACCCAGACCCGGTTACGGAGATAGGACCTGTTACAATTCTATGGGACTACACAATACACACTGACAGAACAATCAAAGCCAACCGCCCAGATATTGTTATTAAAGACCACAAACAAAAAAAAGTGCCTCCTTATTGATATGGCAGTCCCTGCTGACTGCAATGTATCTTTGAAGATATTCAAAAAAAATCAAAATACAAGGACCTTGAAATAGAAATCTCAAAAATGTGGCATATGGGAACATCAACAATCCCTGTTGTAGTTGGAGCCCTAGGACTGGTTGGAAAAAGATTGCAGTAGACTAATTGAAGGGATTCCTGGAAGTCCATGCCTCAAGGAGATACAAAAAAATTGTTCTGACAAGTACAGCCCACACTTTACGAAGGGCTTTATCTATGTAATTTCTTTCTTTTATTTATTTATTTTTTTTTTTTTTTTTTGTCAGTGGAAAGTGCCATGCTGCCATTTCTAACCTTAGGTCTCTGGGCGGAACCCGGAAAGAAATGTGTAAACGCCAGAAATCAAAGAAAATAAAAATAATAATAATAATAATTATATTATTAATAATAATAATAATAATTTGGGAAAATACTACGACTTCAAGATAGAAATCAGTCGAATGTGGCATCCCAAGACAACATTTCCTGTTGTTGCTGAAACTTTGGGAATGAGATCAAAAGGTGCAAACAAATATGTGGATCAAATTCTTGGCTACTCTAGAATATAGGAATTGCCAAAAAATCATACGCATAGGTACTTTTCATATCACCCGTAGATTCCTCACAATGCAGAGTTACAGAGTGAGCAGAGTTACATATTTTTTTCTCTCTCTGATTGTATCGCACCGCATCTGTTTGCATCTTCTGATTGAAAAAAACTTTTTGTCTCTTGAAGTCTCTGGTTGAGATTTGGGAGCAAGTGGTACTACACAAAGCAAAGGCAAAAAACATAATAATAATAATAATAATAATACATTTTATTTTTGCTTTTCTTCCAGTACTCAAGATGAAGACATCTTACAATAATCAAACGGCGTGTGAACTTATTAAAAAGGGTGGTAAGTTCGTATTCTGATTATTCAATAACCTTAGACTTCCTTAACTAACAAACTATTTTTTAAAAGACAAATCATCGTTTCAATTACTTTTTATTATTAGGGCATTTTGACTGAAATATTTCAGACGGTGTTTACATTTTCGGTAAAATTCAAATTAATTTAAGATCACTTGACATGCCTGTTCAAAACCTTTAAGAAATGAAATGGTATTATTAAATTAATTTAACTGACGAAAATGAAACACTGATGACAAGTTCAATCATTGAAAAATGTTACTGAAAAATTGATTAATAGTGTTGTGGTGAATATTTATATTCATTGAAATTAGGAAATATCGAAAATGATTTAATCGGTTCCAATATAAAAACGTAACCTCGAAAAATTAAAAACAAAATTAGAAGCTGATTTTGTATTATTTAAAAAAAAAGGATTTAGATAAACTACTTATTGATTGGGCAGGAATTGTTCCTCTTTTATTATTGGTTAAAAATGATTTCTGTTTCTGATTGCTTAGAAAAGATGATTGACAAAATTAAATTTCTGGTAAACTGTCACTTTTGGTATAGAATTTAGCCCCCAGCTAAAGATGGCGCCATAGTGTCAGTTACATGTGTATATTTCTTTTAGTTGATAGGAAACAGATGGCTGACATGTTTGAATAAAATGGACCTTCTCAATGGTAGCTCAGAAAAATTAATTCTATCAAAGAATACTGTCAGGCATTACTCATGTTGTAGCTTACAAATTAGCTTCATAGACTAATGCTACTGTAGAGAGACATCAAGACCTCCTTACCAGAACTAGCTAAGCTATGTAAATTACTAAAAGAAGGTTTTTGTGCGATTAAATAGTTGTGTAAATCTAACCGGTACTAGTGGCCGATGTTCAATCCCAACGAAATTTTCGAATACTGATTTTCAAGGCAGGTTTACTTCGTGTGGAAGTAAAGCAGCACGATCTCGGTATTCTTTTATTTTGCCTTGTGTCTGACTAGGCTAAGCTTATTGAATATCCATCTAAAATCTGAGATAAAGATATTTACTATACTTACATTAGCCTGGCACAAGACCAAATATTTTAGACACCTAATAAAAATTTAATTCATTAGAGTAATAATAGTTTATTCAACTAGCTTGCTAACCATTGCTTCGCGGAGAGACGCCCACTGGGATATTTTATAATAATTATGAAATTAGATAGATTGATAATGAATATGAACAGAATGAGATAGATAGATAGATAGATAGATAGATAGATAGATAGATAGATAGATAGATAGATAGATAGATAGATACATAGATAAGCGCGATTAAGTGAAAAGCATAGGACAAAAATAAAGAGTAATGAGAGGAGAAAATATAAGGAAAGTAGAAGGAGAAAGATCCAAAAGTTTTTTAGAAGAAATGATTTAACAAGGCATTGATTTTACAGGTAAGAAATCTGGACGCAAGAAACAGAAGAGCCGAAGCCAAAAACGAAAATCTGAAAAAGGAAAGAAAAGAAATAGGCGCAGGAAAAAAAATAACCAGCGTTTGGAAACCAAACAGAAAGGCTCAATGTGATTTGTCTCCCTTTGTTTCCACTTCAACACTCATCAATTACTGACATTGCTCTAATCAGAAAGGCAAATTTATTTACCTTTTTCTGCATTCTATCTTTTAATTTAATCGGTGCTTCTGGTAACGGTTTGTGATAATTTTTTTACGAAATTTTTCATTTTCAGTTGTTACAGAAAGGACAATAATTTTATTGCTGCATTCTGTGATTGTATAGTGCAATCAGTTCCATTTTGGCTTTTCTGATACCTGTTGTAGAAACGGAGGTTTGTTTTTGGGGGTTTTTTGTTGCTTTTTTTCTTTAATCATTTTACTCCAATACCACTAGAAAGCAAGGGATTAATGGGAGTGGAAGAGAAAGAAAAGTTTTTACTAAAGACAAAGAAAATATTTTGGGAAAACAGAAGATGGTGACTAGCGTTGCATTTAAATTTTTGGTGGCATGGATGCAAGAAAAGAAGGAAGGAGTTTTCACAAGCGAGAAGGGTAAGAAAAGAAACTATCAGAATAGAACATACGGTTACATCTAGCTTGCTCAACAGTTAAACGGTGAGACCGAGTTGCTAATCTAGTAACAGAATTAATTCCCTGCAGTTGTGGCACCAAAGAGGAAAACTCATCAGAACAATTGCCATGAAAATATTTATAGAATAGACAGAGGGGAGCCACGTCATGTCGGTGAGAAAGTGACTGGTCGAGATGCCAGGTTAGGATCGATTACATTTACAGACCTTACACAATAGACTCTTCCAGGCCTATATTAAGTAGGCGACATAGCACTCTAGAGAGTCGCACCGAGCGACAGTTTTGACTTTTATTCTGACCGTTTCTTTTGAATTTACCCCCCTTTTTTTTTTTGTTCTGTGAGACTTTTTTTTGCAGCTGTTTATTACTTGGACGTACTTTTGTGTGAAAATCGGACCTTTTTTATCTGATAAGTTATTGTTTTATTTTCATTCTTTTTTAATTTTTTTTATTTCTTTTTTTTTTGTTTTTTGTATTTGGGCCTTAGCTCACATTTTTTTTTTTTTTAGTCCGGTAAGACTTTGTCAAACCGGACGACTGCTTTTTTTTTTTTTATTTTCTCTAAAAAAAAAAAAAGACCAGTTTAGAAAAAAAAAAAAAAAAAAAAAAAGCTTTTTGTTTATTTCTTTTTATATTTTTTTAGCGACTTCAGTCGCCTTCTTTCTCCTTTTTTTTTTTTGACTAGTTTATTTTTTTCATTTTTTTTTTAGCGGCCTCAGCCGCTAAACTTTATTTTTAATTTTTGTACATTTTTTTTTTTTTTTTCTGGAAAAAAAAAAGAGAAGTTTTCTGGTTTTTTTTTTTTATTTCGGCTGCCTTCGGGCGCCATTTTTATTTTTTTTTTAAAAAAAAAGACTTTTCCTGTTTTTTTTTTTTCAGTTAATTTTTTTTGTTTGTTTTTTTTTTTAATTTCCTGGTTTATCCAGGCTTTTCTTTTTTTTTTTTTTTTTCCCAACTCCTCTCCCTGTGTGATAAATCGAAAAAAACCCGCTAGTGGTTGTATCACAACCCTTTTCAGTATGGCCGACGAAGGCAGTCGGTCCAAAGTGAAAAAAGACCTCTTTGGGAAGGTGGACAATACCAACCCAAAGGAGAATGAAGCAAAAAAAGCGGGCTGGTAAAGCCCAAAAGCGGACAACAGCCCAAAGTCCCAAAAAATGACCAAAATTCCTCCAAAAAGGAGAAAGTCCGAATGTTGCCCCTAAAGACGCTTTAGTGAAAACGTCAGGAGTCGCCCTCTTGTTGGAAGTCTCCTCCGAATTGTATACTGAACATGGCGGATTTCCTGGACAAGGCGAAAGGTTATGCCCATCTGGTGAAGAAAGATGGGTTCGTCGATGATGTCCAGGAACTCGGTATGTTCGCTAAAAGAATGGTGACCGTTTTTGTGGTGGACAAGAAAACTAAAAAGATTTGTCGCTCCACAAAAGACATTGTGATTAAATCACTTTTGTCCCTGGGGATAAAACCCCAAAAAGAGTCATAAAAGGTAGGGGATTTTTCATGTGGGACATTCTGCTGCCCACACCAGAAGATTGCCTGGCGATGGCCAAAAAGAATTAATAACTAAGGATCTAATTCTTAGAACCGAGTATGAGGGCCGCAGGCGGACCAGGGTGGCAGTTTTGAGGTTCCTCCTCAAATTTCAGGAGAGCTTCTGGCTGCATTTTTTTATGCAGTACGGCCAGATTTTAGGAGCTCTCTCCGACAATCTGAACAGGGGATGGACGTTTGACATCATGTTGGATCAAGAGGCCTTCAAGTCCGTCCCCAACTGTTTGGTTTTAGGTGACCGGAAAATGCCGGTCATTGTGACTGGTAGGCGACCGACTTGCTGGAGGTGTGGAGAGACTGGTCACCTTTCCTCCTCCTGCCCAGGGAAGAAGGCCCCTGGAGTTCCGGTCACAGGCGACCAAAATACCCCCTTGGCCGATAAGGTAAAATCCGCGGCACCTGTAATGGGTCTAGCTGCGAGGCGGACCGATGGGCAAAGTCCCTCGGTTGGGTCTAAGCCCACATTGCCCCCGAAACCGACGCCTGCCACTAGTGTGGTTAAGGAGAAGGATGAGGGGAATGGCACCTCGTGGTTAGGGGCAAGGGAAGAGCCAAACAGCGGTTCCTCCGTCCCAGCATGACTCCAGGGACACCATCACCTACAGCCCCATTCCCTCTACCAGCGCTGAGGGCGACGCCTCTGCGTCATACGAAAAAAGACGGCAACAGATGCTCAAAAAATTAAATGAGCCAAGTTGGCAAAAATTTTGGATATAAAGAAACTAAAGGAAAAATTGGAAGCAAAGCGGGGAAAAGAAAAAAAAAAAATCGTCGGGGGCACCGGCCCCTCTATCCTCTGCCCCGTCTTCCCCTTCTTCATCTAAAAAGGAAATTTTAAAAAGCCTCCTCCACCAAATCATTGTCAAACTCACCACTAAAAAATCATACATTCACCCAAAACCTTCACCTGTAAGAACTCCTTCAGGGTGGACCCTTCACCACTCCCAACATTTCACCCCTATGACAACTCCAGTCATTCACCAAAAAAAAAAAAGAGTCAGAAGCCCTGACACACTAAATCTTTCACTGAAAAAAAAAAAAAAGGTCAAACCTCCTTATTTCCCAGGGGAAGACGTCTGCCGCGTTTCCCGGGACCAGGCGGAGAGGGTGTTTGGACAAACACGAAATCCAAAGCCCTTAAAAATCCTTTGGAATTTCCAAAATATCAACAACAAAGATGTGGAAAGGCCCGAGAATTTCCCCTCCGCCAAAACCCTATTAACAGTTATCAGAACGGGCCCGGGAACGCGGGAGATTTGGGGCATGATAGAGGAGGCCCAGTCATCTCTAAAAATGGTGCCCCCCTGCTGCCGTTCTTATTAGATCCCGATTTAGACGAAACAAACCAAAAACTAAAGGGAGGGTCCCGGTTTTTGTTCACC